CGTCTCTTTCCGTACCTGTCCCCCACCCACTTGCTCCGCGTTTCATCTTTGCTTTGAAGAGGAAGCGCGCTCCAAACTCGTGCAGTCGCGGTACGTACGTGTCCCGAGGGCCGCCCTGCCCCCACCCCGCCCCGACCCACCCGCATCCTACGACAAAGAGGCACCGCGGCACCGCCGCGAGCCGCCCGCTCGGACTGACTCGGACTCCAGTGCCTGCCACCACATGCACAATATTCCACTCTTGCTATTCACACTCCTAATCCTTTTGTATGACCAAAGCTCATCGAGGCATACTGCTCCCTATAGACCTTTTTGCAGTATGTTGTGCTGGGCTTGGCAAATTTCGTTCAGCCGTACACCATGCAATGAAATAATTATTTCCCAGCAAACGTAGAAAGAACGGCGCTCCCGTGTATCATACTTTTAAGGTTCCAAATCTGGTCCAGGGCGCAGAGGACGAGGCCACCGTAACGCCAAAACGGTAACGGAGGAGCCGTATGCTGACACCGCAACGACCGACACCGATGTGTAAGAAGGAGAGCTGTCTGTTATGGTCACTGCAAATACTGGGGTGCGGATTCTCTTTCACTGTGGTCGTAACTTTCTTAGGCATCTCACAAATTTACGAAATGGTAGCGCACAAGTTCATCTGGCCAATCGAGATATCCAAAATGTCTTTGGAACTTTGGAGAGGTCCCGAAAAGACCATCCATTCAACCCTTAGTGGCAACTTCCCAACACGACATTTTTCTGTATGTAACGAAAAAACAGATGCACCAGTGAATACACCTGTAATCGTCCCAGTCAAGGCGATGTCATTTTGATATAAAAAGATTTAAGTCACAAATTGGCCAAAAATAGCGTTTCTTCAATGACCATGCCTTAAGTTGGACGTGACTTTGTGTTGCTTGGACTGAAGTGATAAATACAATGAGATGATCGCAGCGCAGTAAGTGCATGATCAAGTCCGCGCCGAGTCGGGCGTCATCTTGGTGGCCCGCGGGCGATGCATTCCTCTGCTCATCACATACGATATCCGTTGCTCACGTGACGGTGCATCTTGGGCATTACTGGTCTCCTTCAGGTTCATAACCTTTCCTTACCTTTGCTGCGAAACAAACTAATACCCTTCTTTTTCATACTCTCTAAGCCCCCTTTGCAAAGGCCGCCTAACGAGAACAAGAAAAACTTTAAACCCCAGCAGCGGCAGCTTTCTTCGTTAATTAGGCGGAATATGCATTTACTACGGAATTCCAAACTGCGACGGGGAATTCGCCCAGCATGCCTAGCGCCCTGCGCCCTGGCCGTGCGGGGAGGAGTCTGGAGGACGCGTCTGTCGAGGACTCTGCGCAGGGACAGGAAACTGCTGCCGCGCGGCAGCGCGCCCGAGGCGGGGCGGGGCGCTTCTTGCGTGCCCGGGATTCTTTTCACCCGCGGTAGCTTGCTTTTGCGCCTGCCTCTCAGTGCGCCTGCCTGGCGTGTATCATGGCGTACTGAGCTCCCGCGAAGAATATGAGCGCTCCACCTGCACTACTTTACCAGGGTGCTCTACCCGTAGTATGTTCTGAGAGGATCTGCCGGTGCTCTGCTGGTGCTCTGCCGGTGCTCTGCTCTGCCGCCCGTGTCCGGCGCTCTACGCGTGCCCGCCACTTCGTCCTGCTCTCGATTGAGATCTCTATTGCTGGCCGCCGCCTTGTCGCCCCTTGGCGTATGAGGGACAAACCGGGCGGGGCAGGGAAAAGAGGAAACGCTTTAACGGGTTCCAAATAGTGGACAGGGACGACTTTATCTGTCCGTTGCGCTCTGCGTTGCTCTGCCCGGCTCTGCCCCCGGGAGAGCAGCACTGCTCACCGCCGCCGGCGCCCCTGACACATATAAAGGGACGGCCAGATAGCGGGATAGGAGCCCCTAAACTCTCTGTGGCGGAGCAGTGTGTCGAACCGATCCATTTCATTCTTGTGTTTCCCTGCTTCTCTTGATTGGCTTCTATGTGAGACATCTCTACGTAACCTAACCTGCTGCAGGCGGATCGTATCACACATCAGCTTTCCAGCTTCTAGGAAACAATCTACGACCGTGTGGCACATTTACCAGCTATGTACACTCTTAATGTAAAAAGGGCAACTTTGTTCATTACAAGGCAGCTTTTTCGTGCACATCCAAATCGAATGCAATAATTTTGTTCGTAACACTGTTCAAATTGTATGAAACTTTACCCAATTTGTGCAGCCTGAGGAGGAAACTTGTACTCTGTCTGGATGTGTTCGAAAACGTTGCCTCATTGGAAACAAAATTTTCCTTTTATACTGAGAGTGTCCGTCACGTCCATAAGGTACTTCTCGACTGCTGAGTGCACTGGATGCACCGTATGCAGTCGGCCGGCCGCAGCTGGCCAGGACGCTGGAAGGTTCGCGGCAGGGAGGCCCGCGCGGGTGCGCTGCGTTACGACACGATGCAGCAGAGTAATTGTCTCGTGCAACAAGCTGAGGAGCGTCATCCTCGGCGCCGCCAGGGGGCTGCGGCCGCCGGCCCGCGGGTCTGCTCGCCCGCTGAACCGTTCTGCTGGACCATTGTTGGACCGTTTTACTCGGCGCTGGCAGCTGTGGCAGCTGCGGCAGCTGTCTGTAGCCATCTCATGCCATGTGGCCGGTGCTGGGTCCCGGTGTCGACTGGAGACGACCGGTGTTAAGGAGGAGGACGAGAGGGGGGGGGCAGCACGCTCGTCCACTTCGGCCCTGCGCCCTGAGCAGTTCAGCACAGCAGCGGCATTTATTTTGTGTGGGCGTGAAATATGGATACTGTTGGTAAAACAACGGGAAATGGAGGTGCTTGCAGAAGAGCGGCGGGGCTGACATGAGCGACGAACTGTCTCCGGAGGGTGAGGCCGGCGGGACACTCCACGCCGCCGCTGCTGTCGTGCCAGAGTGCTGCGCTGGACACCGCTCTGCGTGAGTCGAAGGCGCTTGTTTGATTTGCTGGCGCTGATGGCGGTGGCGGCCCCACTGGCGGGCGCACGCAGCTCTGCCGAGCTCTGCACTGCCGGAAGGACGTCGTGAACGTCGTGGCCGCGGTGCGCTGCAAGAAAGGCCGCCCGCCCGCGCCTGTTTGCGTTAGTTTGGCGGAAGCTCGCTTTGACCGTAGAGCAGGCCTCCCTCTGAGGCCTATGGGCTGCCGTGGCGGTGACGCGGGTGGAATTCCATAAGGAAAAGGTGAAAATGCCGCCCAAAGCCTGCTTTCCATCCGGGCGCGGTCTTTTAGGAACAAACTGTGTCCGCCGCGGCCGCGGTATCGAACAGCGAGGCAGGAAGTGATAGCGAGCGAGTGTGGGACCTGCGCCGTCGTCCTCTGCGGAAAGTTGTTGAACAGAGAGTGAGGATCGCACAGCGCGAGGGAGGGGGAGCGGGGCGGCCGGCGAGGCCCGCCCTTCCTCCTCTCGCGGCCTGGCCAGACGGCGCGGCGCGGACATATGTGAAACTGCTGCACCGAGTCGACGACCGTCCCGTAGGCGCACGCGATGGTCAGGCCCGCCGCCCCACCCCGCTGCATCGTGCCCCCCTAATGGCATGCAACGCCCCCTTGCCCCATGCCGATCCGCTTTCGCTCTTTTCCCTCAAGGATGTCCCGGGCGGCTCCACCGCCGCCGCCGCCGCCACTCCGTCCTCCAGGTCCCCGCCAGCCATCTGCCCCGTAGCGCCGCGCCTCGCCTCACCCCGCCACAACCCGCCTCACCCCGGCCAGGCCAGAGAGCCCAGGGTGGAGCAGAACCCCTTACGGCTGCCGCACCCGGCTCGTCGTGTCAAAAAGTGCTTTTTTCGAACCCCATCATTTCTGGATAAAAAGAGACCCTTCTGAGACTGAGACTCTGTGAAAAAGGAAACCTCGAGGAAACCTTTGGTAAAAGTGATGACAGTGTTGAACGACAATTAATTGGTTCCGCAATTGTTAAGTGTTTGTTACGCTGGAACGGCCACTTGCATTGAGACAGATCCGCCTTAAATCAACATGTTAAAAATTGTTTTTCATTATTTATTTTTCTGCCAAAAAAGTCGAGATGAATTACCCGAACAATTCCCTTCTAGCTATGATAATTGTGCACCCCGCACACAGTTTTGTACCGACTTTTAATTTTCTTCTACAAGATTTGCTTTTGTGTTTACGTTCGTAATTTCGGTGGTGCCTTGTCGTGCCCGCGCCGCGCACGCGCGTGGCCGTGAGGAATGCGCGGCTGGGGGACGCGAGGGGCGCGTTATCTTATGGCCCCTGGGAGCTCTTGGAATCGTAGGTATGCAAAGGACGGAGGGGCCCGGTAGGGGCCCGGTAGGGGCCCGGTAGGGAGGCTGCACGATGAATTTCTTGATCTCCGGGTGGCGCTCGCTACGGCGCAGCGGACGCGCGCGGAATACTAGTACTGCTCTTCATCAGACCAAACTAACGTTGCAGGCGGTTATACAGAGGAGTTGTATCCTTTTGTTTTGGAATGAAAAATAAAATTTCAATGTTTTTTTTCTGGAGAAAACGACGTTGATAGTATCTTCCTCCCCCCCCCCCCCCGGAAATTGGATATTGGGTATGATTTATTCGAGAACTATACTTGTTCTGCTCAAATTGTGTGTGTACAGGTTTCTGTGTGTGACAACTTTAAAGTGGTAAATACATAGACAAAGACATTGCTGAAAAAAATGAAAATATCTACACTTTTCTCGGAATCGCTGGCAACACGAAGGATTTAAGTCGGGATTTGTTTTTTTTTTAAATCATGATAAGTGAGCCATTTAGTGTGCATCGTGTACGCATCAAAACTAACATTTCTTAGGCGCCCCGCGCTTAGGTGGGACTTATTTCTTTCTATGAGATTTGGGGGGGGGGGGCATGACACGATAGTCGCGCGCGCGCGGTGCTTTCCATCCGCCGTACCGAGAACGACAACAAGTGCGGCAGCAGTATAAGCAGCGCGGGCCCGATATGTGTGATGGGCCCGACAATAATAATCCGGGCGAGAGAGAGAGAGACGTCGCCACGTTTTATGACCACGCGTGGCGTGGCGCGGCGGGCCGATTTCACCGCTTTGGGCGCGTACGAAATAGCTGTCCTCGGCTTGGCCCGGCCAGCAGGCCATGGGGCCCGGCCCGACACGCGCGCGACTTACATATGCAAAAGACGCTCAATTAGATATCATTGGGGGCGTCGCCGGCGCACGCACGCACGCACGTAGGCCTACACACAACACATGCGCGCACGCCGTGCGACGACGTTGTGTTGTTGGGCCGTTGTACAATTTCGGCGGTACAGTTTCACTGGCCGCTCGCCCGGGCGTGCCTTTCGATTTGGCGTGCTGCTTCGCGCACCCTCCGTGTGCTCGAGTGTTTCCATGCCCGCGGTGGTCCTAGTTATTCATAGTCATAGATCGCGTATCTCTTCATTTTCGGGCGAGGTGTGGCGGTGCAGTGTGCGCGGTGCCTGGGCAGGAGGAGGGCGGCCGTTGCGTGCCGAGATGTTCATCAGCTGCGCCTAGGTGAATGTGTGACGGTCCGAGGCGAGGACTGACGTCAAGCGCACGCCCGTGTTCTGTTCCGCATCCCTCTTCCTCGTTTTTGAGGTGCCCTACACCGAAAACGTTCACTGTGAAACAAACCCATCACTGAAAATTGTTTTTTAGGCGCCTAGATATTGGCTTTCAAAGTCAGCAATATTTCTAAAGACGTTAAAATAGGCGCAAAAATTTGGCGTTCAAAAGACTTTTAGTTTAAAGTGATATGGTTAGAAAAATGAAGTTGCCTCCTCGTGTTGAACGAAAGTTCAAACATCGCTTGTTGAGTTGTAGTTAAGTTTAAACCGAAACCGATTTGTTGATGGTGTGATTGTGTTGCCTCAAGTTATTTGGATGGCCCCTAGAACGCTTAATGGATATATAATTGTTACGATTTCAGTCAGTTGTTTCATGTATTTACCTGTTTTGGATAACGATCATCAAGGGACAGAGCTTGTTTTGGCGCGGTACTGCGGCATTTCGAGGGGCAAAAAGTCGTTGGGGCCCGTGATGTGACGCTCAGTTCCTGTGTCTGATATAAACGACCTTAACGGTTTCGTTTCAAGAACTAGACGTGCAAGGAGCCCCTCGGGATTACAAGACTACTTTTAAGTTCAGCCCATGGAAGCTATGAGAGCGCCTGATAGGTAGGCAGCATCCTCTCTGCAGTGCATGCGTGTCTTGCGGGGCGGCCTACCCTGGGTTTCGCAGGCGCCAAGCTTCCGTATTTTGCCAAATGAATCTGAGTAAAACGACCGTGGCTTATGAACGATCCTTAAGCCGGCCACATTTGAGTAGCCAAATTCGCACGCAGTCGCACGTGCAAAAAGGAAACACTGGTACACACTAAATCCTTATGCATTGTGTTGTGCATAAGACTTGCAGGATTTCATGCAGCCATACTATGCACAGTTTTTCATGCATAAGTATGCAAAACTAACGCGACTATGCACAAATTTGTGCATAGTAATGCTGAAGTTTTACATAGTTATGCATGAAATTTGGTGCATAACTATGGCTGCATGAAATCCTGCATATTATACATAAGGGTTTAGTGTGTACATAACTATTCACACAGTTCTGCAACGACCTTAATAGCATGATATGAGGTTTTCGTGTGTAACTAGGTAATGGGCTCGTCGAGGGCCTCGTAAAAACAAAGGCTTAAACTCTAACTCAAAATTATTGGTGTGAAGGGCCAAGTTCCAAAATGGGAAAAGAGGTCAAATGTGCTTCACAGTGTCTAATTACATTCAGACCAGGTCGGCGGGGATGTCTCGGGGAGAGGAGAGGGAGAAAATAAAATGTTTTCCCATAGACTCACTCCGTCCGTTCGACTCGCCGCTGATTGCCGGTCGATTAGCACGGAGGAGGGGGGGGGGCACGTTGGCACCGGCCGCCGCCGCACGCAGCGCCGGACGATGACCAGCCGCGCGAGGTGTTCCGCCCCTCTCTCTCTCTCACGCCCACTTGTCCGCAGGGGGTGAGCCAGAGGAGAAGCAGGCGGGCGGCTGAGGCGCTCGACCCAAAGAGTTGTGTCTCCTTGATTTAGGGTGACGTGGTCGATGGGTTGCCCGCCTCCACGGCGCAACAGCGACGAGGCATCGCACTGCAGGAGGCGGCAGTGTACCTGCGGCCGGGCAGTGAACAGGGGAGGGGGCATCAGTCTGCTTCAGCACTTCGATATTTCTTCTACTAGGTTAAACCTTATTCAATTTCTGCGCGGAGCAGAATGTGTCCTCCAGTAAAAATAAGTCAAGTGCGACTTTTTAGCCGGTCGCGCCCGCAGCAAGCAGCGCTTCGGCGCCCGTCTCCCTTTAGGATGATGAGGAACTTTGGCGGCCCTAAAAGCACGCGGCGCCGCGGCGAAGCGCTTCCACGACACCTCCGGGAAGAAGGAGCCGGTTTTAACATGAAAATGAGATTGCAGCCGGTGAGCAGCAGGAGGAGCAGCAGCGGCAGCAGCACAGCTGGAGCACCCCGAGTAGTGAGTAGCGGCCCCGGGAGGAGTTTGAGCCGGCTGGCGCAGCGGCCGACACTGGCTCCAAGGCCCCTGACCCGGATGATTCTGGAGATGTCACCCCTCGCCTCGCCGCAGGTCGTCCCGACTCGACCTTGTACCCCAAATTATGCGGCGTCCTCCTGGTTCCCTTATCGCCACCAGGGCGTCCCCGGGTCGGCCCTGGGCGCGCTCCCGGGCGACAAAAAGGAGCGGCGGCGCGGCGAGGTGCTTCACTTGTCCTCCAGTGGCGCGCGGACCAGGACGACACGCCGGCCCGCGCTCCTGGGCCGCGAAGGGACAGCGCCGCACGACCACGTCACGGACCAGGTGAGCCCCACGTGCCTGCTGCGTTGCTTTCATTGCACACTTACGGGAGTGTATATATTGTGTTTTTTTCTGTTGTTTTTTTTTCTGTCACAACTTTTGTTTTCTTATAGGTTTCCCAAAGCAAGCACGCAAACATCATGTCAATTTCTTTACACGGGATATGTGGTATGTGGTTCTCACAAACTTTAGCAACTTTGTTCTAATTAGCATCACCTTCAATGACAAGCAAAAAATGTACTACTGTCAATTGCTAGATCCTAGTTGTCCTCTGAAATCTTGTGAGAGGTTGGCAATCGCTGCCAAGTAGCGTCTGCGCCCGGTGCACCTCCCACTAGTATGTTAAGCGAGCCGTGGAGTCCTCACCTCCGTCGCTGGGTGCGTACCACGAGGAGTATGGTGCCGCGCACGGATATTGAGCGTCGAGCGGTAGCAAGGCTCCATGTTCAATCAGGGATAGTAATTATGTTTGGTGATTGTGTGAGCGTGTGCACCAGAGCGAGCGAGGGCGAGAGGGTTGTTTTGGAGAGGGTACCGCATGCAGGCTGCCTGCACAGCGATAAATGTAGTCTGAACAGCTATGCGTTCACACAATTTGCTCCAATACTGGTCCAAATACGAGATAAACGAACTGATCAAAAATCACGTGTATCAATGCATGCAAAATGCAATGCGTACCTGATTAAGTGAGATGAATTTCTTAACAGTAATTAACATAATTTAATCAGCGATGCAAAATGTGTGACATGTGAAATCGTATAATTCATTAATTATATACGATTATTTAAGTTGCCAAAATCAGTGTGTTCTTTCTCTTCCTTATTTCAAATACAAGCACGCGGTACACTCAACGTTAATAATGACTTCACATTAAATGCAAACAATAATCCTGTTGGTTTTTTTTTTGGTTGTTTTTTTCTTTAAAAAAACATCCTCGAAAACATCGTATGTGATGTCTACTGACAAGAGTTATTTTTAAATTATTTTATCTAGTTTTTTTTTTGTTTTTTTTTTATACAATAATATTGTTTGTTTGCGATATTAGTCGTATATAATTTGCCTCCTTCTCATGTAATGTTACTTTGCGGTTTGAACTGTTGTTGATTACGACAAAAGTCACACAAATTCCGAAAACGAAACTTTTCATGGAGTCTCTTCGCTTTAATTTTTGCCAGTTTTTCCAGAAAGTATTCCCAATTTCTTGTCTAACACCTATAAGTGCGTCCCACGAATGGAGCTCTACCATGTGCTTGCCAGTTGCACACTTTTGTTTCCAGTGCCTACAACGCTTGCTTATTATCAGCGCGCAATGCTCATGCTGTCAGCGTGTCAGAGTTTCAAAAGGCGTGAAGTAAATTTTTCTTTTGTTTTCCTACGAAAGAGCGCGCGTGACCGCCCGTGGGGCTGCACGACACCTAGTTACCCACCGTGCTGATAGAATTAGAGCGGGCTGGACAGTTTTGGGGGGAGGGGGAGGAGGAGGGGGGGTCACGTACGGGACGGGGGCGGAGCCGGGAGCTGGGCGAGGGCAGGGACCTGGAGCCGGACAGGGCGGGCCACAGAGATTGATTAAAGGGCCCTCTGGCTACTCGTTTAGAGCTTCGTTCGTCTGAGGGAAATAAAGGGCTGACAGTGTTGCAGTACCGCGACCACTGATACCCGTTGCGGTACTTTTACTGAATTCTCACGATAACTACTTGTGATTTGCGTTTCCCATGTTGAAAGGTCGTGTCACGAATTTTGATCGAAAACAAAGTCACAAAATTAAACAGCAGGGCGAAAATCAATGAAAAAACAAATGCGATAACGGTTTATCGCGGTTGGAAACATGTGATAAAATTTCATAGTATTACACAGATTTGTTATAATAAAAAGTGTCGCACTATTTTTGTTGCAATTTGCAATGATCTTCCTATACTTTTATTGCAGTGCAGGGTTTGCGATAATGGTTATCATCCCCTGTGGCATGGAAATGGCAAAACCAGCGTCAGTGACGAGGTCACCATTTACGTAATTCTGTGGACAAAATTATCCTAATCCCTTAGTAAATCCGTGTAATCCGCGACGAAATTTTGAACAGAAAAATCATAATAAAATTA